TTCGCAAATAAAGACAGACCCTTCTACGAACGAGGAATTATGAAGCTCACTGAAAGATGGCAAAAGGTTATCGAACAAAACGGGCAATATATCATTGATTGATCTTTGTTCTTTATATAAACAAATGACCTTTGAAAAACACAGACAAAATACGTCATGACTTTTCCGACAGCCCAATAATTAACTCTACTAACGTGTCACCTGTTGTGCACCCCTCTCCCTGTTGGGCAGCCTCATCAGGTGAGCCCAGGCATGAACCAGGAAGGAAGCCACAGCAGGAGCAGCAGCACTCCGTCACAGAGTCTAGGTTCCACATCGTATGCCTTCTGCTTAAGTAGGTCTGCTCAGCCTCTGTAATGGCCATTTATTATTTTTTTAACTGGGGAATTGGGGGAGGGGAACGGTGTTGGGGAACTGGGGAAGGGGAACAGCCATGCTGTTGTCCTTCAATCTTAGTTGTGGAGGGCGCAGCAAGCTCAGCTCTGACTCCAGTCACGCCGCTCAGCTCAAGGTGCTATGTGCAATTAGTTGCGGATGGGTGTCGCCACCATCCCATGCAGCAGTCGAACCGGCAGCCTTGTTGTTAAGAGCTCGTGCTCTATCCCCTGAGCCACCCAGGAGGCTGCTCTGCTCAAGGTGCTGGGTTCAGTTTTTAGTTGCAGACGGGTGTAGCCCACCATCCCAAACAGGTAACCCTGTTGCCAGGAGCACGTGCTCCCACCAGCTGAGCCATCCTGCCACCTGTTGGCAGCTCAGCGGCAGCTCAGCTCGGGTGCAGCTCACTGGCCCATGTGGGAACTGAACTGGCAACCCTGCCGCTCAGAGCTTGCACTCCTGAGCAAGCTCTTAACCAACTGAGCCATTCGGCCTGCCCTGTAATGGCCTTTTTATATTCATCTTTAGACATGCAGTTGAGTTTAATTGTTTGGTTCTTAACCTCACAGCAAATCAGGAGAGAATCGCTGTGCTGCTACATGCTGGTCTCCACCTTCTGGGCCTCACTTACTTCTAAAGTGAATATATTTATCTAGAGAAGCTCCAAAGCTCCTTTCATCTCTAAAATTCAAAAATGTTAAGTTCTGTTACACTGAATTGTTGTCTAGGCTGAGTTTTTCTTTTAAGCAGAAAAGTAAATTTAATTCCAAGGGTATTTTTCTTTCTTGCTGTCTTTTGGTAACTTTCTTGCTGTCTTTGCAAAACCTGAAATTTTGGTCTACTGTCTTTGAAAACCTTTATCTTTCTTTTTCAAAAGGACAGGAGATTTGTCAGACAGTTTCTCCTGATTAATAGCTTTTTTCTTCATTATGAGAAAAAAGCCAGCCTATGATAAATGTTAGTTCCTTTCACATCCATCCCCTATATACATACATATAAGTATACATACATATGTACATATGTATACATACATAGAGGAATATGAATAAATATGTGTGCATTTATATTTGTGTGTGTGTATCTTAGTCTTCAGGGACAACCAGAAGGCTGTTCTAAAAAATCCTGTTCTTTTAAAGTCCTCATTTCAAACACAGCTGTGTCATTCAATAGTTGCATATTTTTGGGTGATTTATATGCATATACTATTAAAGGGTTAATAACAAAAAAAGAATAATGCACAAACATAGTAGAAAATTTGAACAATGCAGAGAGTTATAAAGAAAAAAAACCACCTAGAATCTCATTGTTCAAAGATAACTACTATTTTGGTGTAATAGCTTTAATACCTTTTCTGTTTGTACCAATAATTTACATACAGTTAGCATCTTAAAAGTAAATAACTTGGTATTCTGCTTTTAAAATGTTAATGTATATGGGCGTATTTTTCTATGTGATTAAGCTCAGATATAATTTTAATGAAGCACTGGCTCTACTTTGTGTGGTCTTGGGTTCATGTGCCCTGGTCCTGTACCCCAGGCCCCTTAGTGCTGGCTTAGTTGTACCCTGTAGTTTACTCGTATATTCAGGTCCAGCAAAGATTGAAGGCCAAGAACTTGGGGATTCAATCTAGGTGAGGAAGAATGGGGAATCCTGCTAGGTGCAGATTTGTTCTCTATAATATACTAATCCAAATTTGTAGAAAAAGGTTCTCACAAGCGAGCTCCTTTATGTGTTCAGCTATATAGATTGTAGAAGTGAAAATGTAGAAGTTTTGCATTTTGGTTGTATTCTCAGAATAGCTACAGAATTCCTGAAAATCTAGCCTGAACTAGCATGTGCTAGGTACTGCTCTTTAAAACACTCCTTTCTTAGTGGTGTCCAGGTAAAACATGTCATTATGAGAACTACAAATTAAACTCTGTTCCTTAGCTTGTAGAACAAGTTATTTGCAGATCTGAAAAGAAAGGTATCAGGTTAATAGGCTCAAAGCTCTCTTTGTTTGGCAGTTGAGCTTGTTGCGCATGTGCGCACACAGCCAAACCCAGTAGGATTTCTTTAAAAACAAAACAAAACAAAACAAAACAACATAAAACCTGACTCAAATGAGCGAGCTCCTGTAGCCTTGTATCCTGGGAAATTTGTGTATTAGGGCCTAAAGGAAGGTGGCTATCAGGGCAACACCACAGATGTTGAAGTCTTTGGTGCTCAAACAGTGGCCACACCCCTTGTAATTGTTTGACCTTGAGCATGTAGCTCCTTGAGCATCAGGATTCCCTCCCCTATTTCTGGTTTTACCTCCTTCTCTACTTAAATTTTACTGCTCTGAGAATGCCTGCCTGTTTCTTAGGCTGGTTATGTGCCAGGCAGCAGGTTAGGGGCCTTGTGTGCATTAATCCTCACCATTCTTGCCAGCAAGATTGCCATCGTCCCCATTTTCCAGGTAAGATCAGGGCATTGGAGAGGTTCTCTGTCACAGGGCTGCTTGTAATCCACATGACATGAGAGTGAAGAATTGGAAATAGAGTAAGCATCCTATATTAGGGGATGGCTAGGGAAACAAAGATGTTTAAACAAGGATGGCTAGGTAAACAGGATGAGATCAGGGCATGGGAGAGGTTAGGTAACCCTGGTCTGGGGAGAAAGCATGCTGATTTCTGGCTTTGGTGCTCCCATTTTCCCAGCAAGCGGTTTAATGACTGAGTCTGGGAAGTGTGGCTTTAGTTACAAATGAGACAATACAGTGCGTGGTGCCTGGCCCACAGGTGTGAGTTTTTCTTGAAGGGAATGTTAGAGTCAGAGACTCATGATTGGAATGCAGTATGGCAACATTTATCAAGAACTATGTAGGGGCCGGCCGAGTGGCACGATGGTTAAGAACTGGCTTGGGACGCCAGAGGGCCCTGGTTCGGATCCCACATATGAGGGCCAGTGACACTGCCCTCTACAGCTAAGATGCTGAACAACAGCTCAACCTGGAGCTGGGCTGCCGTGAGTCACCGGCGAAGGCGTAGGCTGCAGCCCCTGTGGCAGTGGTTGCCATGGGCTACTGTGTGTGGCCAGCAGCCAGCGTGAGCGGCCCTCACGCCGTGAGCGGCCCTCACGCCGTGAGCGGCCCTCACGCCGTGAGCGGCCGTCCAGAAGCCGGCGACTGATCTGCCTCAGTCGGGAAGAGCGCAATGATGGTGCCAACTTGGGCCAGTGAAGCAACATCCTCCACAACTAGACTGAAGAACAAAATGACAGCAACTTGTCTGTTCCCCTTCCCCCAATTCCCCAGCACTGTTCCCATCCCCCAATTCCCCAATAAAAAATATCTTTAAAAAAACAAAACAAAACTATGTAATAAAGTTTATTCCCTTTGTCTTTGGAGTAGTTTACTCCTTGGAATTTATCCTAATGAAGTAATTCAAGAGAAGAACCAAGATTTGTTCATTTACTCCTCATTTAACAACCATTTATTAAGACTCTCTTCTGTACCAGGCGGGTGAGGTTGGCAACACAGGCTCTCTTGTCTGTCACAGGGCTGCTTGTAATCCACAAGACATGAGAGTGAGGAATTGGAAATGGAGTAAGCACCTGTTATTAGGGGATCCTAGGTAAACAAGAATGTACTGAGTCATTTGAGTATTATCTGTAAACATTAAAAATGGTCATTTTGAAGACTATATAGAAACAGAAGAATATTTGACTTAGTTTAAGAAGTAGTAAAATTAGCTTTAGATTCTCTGAAAGGTTCAACTATGTTTAAAAGTTTATATTTGGACGAAAACAAGATAATAAAAATGAAGATACTCTATTGTATAATAGGATTTGGGTTGATCTTTTAAAATATTATTTGCTATTATATATTTTTCCCTGTAATAAAAGAAAAAAAGGTGGCATACTTTGGCTGTGGAGCTGTAATGGATACTGCAAGGAGCTGGAGAAGATAATGTTCTGTTCCACATCTGTGAGTGCTCATCCATCCATCACCTTGTTGTTTCTTCCCCATAGGGCCATGTGAAACTCTCGGACTTTGGCCTTTGCACAGGACTGAAGAAAGCACACAGGACAGAATTTTACAGGAATCTAAACCACAGCCTCCCCAGTGATTTCAGTAAGTGTTAACTGATGTGAGTCTTTTTATCCCTCAGCTGAGCCTAGAAGAGCTGTTCCCCTGGGAACCAGACTATGCAGGACAGACGAGGAGATGCTCACTTTGAGTCTTCAGAGAATTAAAAAATCTCCCTGGGTTTGCCTGTGATTTGTGTTGTACGGTGAGGCAAGATGAGTGCTACCGAATGTGTTAAGACAGACGTCGAAAAGAGCCTGCTTTGGAGCTCTACAGGGAAGGTTTCTGGAGAGGGATTTGGGGGAGTAAAGGAAAGAGTCCTGGGAACAATTCCAGATGAGATTTATCCTAGGTACTTCCTTCTGTCCTGGCAGAAAGGAGTTTATGAGTGTTACTTTTACTCTAGCACTATCAAATCATTGAAACTATGTAGAAAAATTACAATTCCTCTTAGAGGAGCTTATGTCAAATAATGTATTATAAATTCAGAAGTCTCTGATTGTGTAATAGCTACTACTCTTGGAAATTGGATGTTAATTTTGAGATATTGTGAATGTTTTAGGTCCACTTTAGGACCTTCGCTTTTGGTAAGACTGACTTTCCTGTACTTCTCATTAAAGTCCCTGTAATTCTGGTTAAGACCTGTCCGTGGCCTCTCTGGCCACGTGATCCACATGGAAGGGCTGCTTAAACTCTCATTGTGTGATTCTTTGAGTAAATACTCTAGAGCAGCGGTTCTCAACCTTCCTAATGCCGCAACCCCTTAATACAGTTCTTCATGTTGTGATGACCCCCCAATCATAAAATTATTTTCATTGCTACTCTATAACTGTAATTTTCTACTGTTATGAATCATAATGTAAGTATCTCTTTGTTTTCCGATGGTCTTAGGTGACCCCTGTGAAAGGGTTGTTCGACACCCAAAGGGGTCGCGACCCACAGGTTGAGAACCGCTGCTCTGGAGCCTCTGATTTGAGCTTACAGACTTGCTGGGAAATGTGTCATCCAGTGTTATTGATGGGCAGACTTTAGGTTTAAAAAAGTGGTAAACATTCCCGTCTGAACTTTGACTAGAACTTGTTTTCTCTACTTTCAGCTTTCCAGAACATGAACTCCAAAAGGAAAGCAGAAACCTGGAAAAGAAATAGGCGTCAGCTAGTAAGTAATACCTGTAGCTTCTTACATGCTGCAAACCTAGTATAAATGTGTACAAAAAATATGCACATAAATTTGCATATGATAAATGTTTGCAGCATATTCATCCCTTACTTTTAAGGTTACCTTAATAGAGCACTGTTATTATGTTGGTAGCACCAAAAGTAATCTTTTGAAGGAGGGCATATAACATCAGGTGGTTTTGGTTGTGACATTTCCGTGGATGACCTCACTCTGACCTTTTATATTGGTGACAACCTTTTTCCTTCCTGTTGCACCTTTTCCCAATTTTTATGGTGGTAAAGGGGTTATGTTTAAGCTGGAGCTCTCTCAAAATGAAACTCAGTACAGATACCTACCCAGGGCCTCTCAAACTTTTAAAATTTGAGTCTCTTCAGCAAATCAAGACTCCTCAATTCACCTGCTCCACCCTTTCCTACTTGGTGTTAAAAATTGGAGAGAGGGGGCCGGCCGAGTGGCTCAGTTGGTTAAGAGCTTGCGCAAGAGTGCGAGCTCTGAGCAGCAGTGGTTCGATGCCCGGCCCGAGCTGAGTTGCCACTGAGCTGCCAACAGGTGGCAGGATGGCTCAGCTAAAAAAAAAAAAAGTTGGAGAGACATTTAAGGGAAGTGCCTATTACTTACTTTGTAAGTATTTGAGTATATAAACATTAAATTATGCTCCACAAGCTTAAAAAATAACATTATTTGATTTACCTTGATAGTATGTTGGAAGTTATTTAAATAATCCAAATTCACCAGTGAAATATTGCTGTGTAGCAAACTTTCATTCTGATTCATTGGTTCATATTTGAAGTGCAGTGTACACATCCTAATGTCTAGTTATTGGAAAATTATTGACCAGAGGTAATAGAAATGTGTATCACCACATACTTAGGCTTTGCTAGAAACCCATAGCCAATGAAATTGGTGAGGATAAAGCTAATGAAAGTTGGTCATTAGAAAGCAAGAATAGCAGCGGTGGAAACTGTGACTAACTCAGAGGGATGATCACGTACATCTATTACCTGGAATCGATGGCATTTCCGCTTGGCGGTGTATACAGCAGTAATTTGGCAGGCCGGCCAAGTACTGGTTTTCAGCCAGACTTCTTAGTAAAACACTGAAGTAGATGTCTCTATCGTATCTTTCGTACTCACTTAGTAGGTCCCCAGTAAGTAGTGTCAGTCATATGTGAAAATGGAAGCCGGCAGGATTCTTTAGGAAAAAATCAATAGAAAAGGCTTGCTTTTTTTTTTTCTTTTTAAAGTTTATTTGAGGCTCATCAGTGGGCCTCAGATCACACTTTGAGTGTTGTTATGATTTTTATGTTAAACCTGGGCCTTGGGAGAGGCATTAACTTAAACTAAACACTTTTAGAGATGCAGTAACTGAAAATCTTTGCTAATTTTTCTCTAACATTGACTTGGGGATACTTAAGTTTGGTACAGTCACATCATAGTCTGTTTTCCTTAGGAACTCGGATACTCTTTAAATGTCTAGCTTCTGTATGTGGTTGAAAAACTGTTTACGTAGCTTGTTGCAGGTTAGGGAATGTCAGGAGCAGATGTGGTCGCATGCTTCTGTTATGTTTCTCCATAGAACATTAGATCTTCACCTTAGCTGCACATAAGAATCACCTGGGGGAACTTCAGAACATCCTGATGTCTGGGTCCCACCCCCAGAGACTCTGTTACAGTTGGTTTGGGGTACATAATCTGGGTATCTGATTTTTGAAAGGACTCTGGGTGATTCTAGTGTGTGGTGAGGGTTGAAACCTCCAAGGAAGACTTTCTTAAACAATAGCTCCTGCATTATTGGGAAACTGATATTTACCTTTGGTTTGGACTCTAACAAAAGGTAAGGCATCTTCTGTGATTTTTTTTTAAAAGCGAGCCAAGATTGAACCTTTGACCACTGTACTAATATTTATTTGGGGAGGTGGGGTGTAATTAAGCTTAAATACCTTAAATTATCCTTATGCTTTATGCTCTTTGACAAGCACCAAAGGGTCATGTCAGATTTACTAGGAACCATTTATAGATCTATAAGGGAGGAGATTTCACAGTTTCTGTATTTGGAGTTCAATGCCCTTTAATAGTTTAAAATGTTTTTGTTTTTAATCTGAATAAACTAAGGCTCTCATGTTGTGGTTGAGGTTCATACTTCCTTATTTATAGTATGGAAATGTATTAAGATAATCCTTATATTACCTATTTTGATAACTTGAAGAAAATAAAGCCACCTGTCAGTCTTCAAAAGGTTAACTAAGGCTGGCCGAGTGGCTCAGTTGGTTAAGAGCTCGCTCAAGAGTGTGAGCTCTGAGCAACAGCGGTTCGATGCCCAGCCCGAGCTGAGCTGCTGGTGAGCTGCCAACAGGTGGTAGGATGGCTCATCTTAAAAAAAAAAAAAGGTCAATTAACTCTGTACTTTTGACCTTTCATACGTGTCCCATTCAGGTAATATCGAGTGGAAGGTTAATATTAGCTAAAGCTTAACATAAATTTACTGCTCTCAGTTAAGTCCAACATATTGCTGCACCCAGCCTGTGACTTTTCAGTCCATTGAAAATCACTGAAGACAGTAGAGGCTTAAGGTTCACCCCTTGGCTGCTTCAGTCCTATTATAATGTTTAAAAATTGTCATGTGGTGTTGGGTAACCTTAGGCCTCGTTAACTGTTTAGAAAATAGGTATGCGTCAGCTTTAAGTTATTCAACCACAGAGGTGAGAGATGAACTATATATGGACGTCTCATCTTTGTCAATGTATTATTTTTTTTAGTGTAGTATTTACAGAAGTGATTGAATAGGAAATGAAATTGCTTTATTTCCCCTAAAATCCTAAGTGAAATCATAAGTTGGAACACATCATATGTTTGAAGTGACTGTTAACAACCAACAAAGCTCTTTCAGAGCACAGCTCTGACTGACACTATAAAGACCCAGACAAAACAAAGGAAAAAGAGGGTACAGACTTCAGGTATTAAGAGCTTGGAGTGGGAGGACACCCTGGTGTGGAAAACAGACAGAGGTTAGGAAGGGACAGTCCTTAGGTTAGAAATACCTCCTACCTGGTACTAGCAGTGTGGTGAAACGCGAGCGCCTAAGGCACAGCAAGTGCTGTCGTCTGAGTGAGAACTTACCGTGTGTCACTGCTTTGTGCCTATGCTTGGCTATATTTTATAACCCCAAGAATATTTTAACATCTTAGGATCTCAAAGGAATTATTTTCCTGTGGTAATAGGTCTCTGGTTTTGTAATAGAAATCTTTGAACAAATAAGATTTACTTAACGTTCAGTTTTGCTGGAATGAATCTAGTCTCTAAATTGAAGGGTTTCTGTAATTTCTTAACCTTTATAATTAGAATGAAAATATTTCTGCTTCTTGGGGAGGATCCAATCTGTGTTTCAGAATTTAAGGCTTTTTTTTTTAAACCTGGCATTTTATTATTTAATATGTGTATTTGATAGAAAACAAGGTACAATTATGTATGTGGAAAAAGTAGATTTCTTCATTACAGTATTCACAAAATAAATTGTAGATGGAAAGTAAAACTGCAAGTTTTAGAAGAAAATACAGGGTAATATCATTATGACCTCAGAGTAAAGGATTTCTTAAATGCATACAAGAAATACAAATCATAAAGAAAAACTTGATTTATTTTACTATTTTAAAGAAAAAAAACCTTCTGTATATTGAAAGACATAAATGAAAAGACAAGCCACATGTTTCAATGACTTTGGAATTATCTTCCAGTTCATGGGCATATCCTGCAACTCAGCACTTCTACCCCTAGTCCCATGCCCTGGAGAAACTCGCACCTGCGAACCAGGAGACGTGCATATGAATGTTTATTGCATTTTCATAATAGCAAAAAATTGGAAATAACTCAGTGTCCATCAACAGGAAAATGGTTACATTCTGGAATAGAATATTTTCTAGCAGTGAAAAAAATGGAGCGATAGCTACTTATGACATTATGGATCAATTTTACAGACAACATTGAGAGAAAAAAGCAAATAGCAGAGAACTGCATGTAGAATGATACCATTTATACAGAACCCAAAAACAAAACTAAATAAGATCTCATTTAGCGAGACACGTGGCAAAATTAAATTTGTTTTTAAAAGCAGAAGAATGATAAAATCGAGCATGGGGTTACGAGAGGCAGGAGAAGGGACGGGAAGGAGAACATGCTTGGTTTTAATGACACTGCTCATATTTCGGTCCTTCAGTTGAACTCATGGGTATTCATTTTCATTATTATGCTTTATAATTTAATAATGACACATTTTGGTATGTGACAAATATTACATTATTTTAAAAATCATAATAAAAAATGACAAGCCTCAGACCGAGAGAAGATATTTGCAATACATAAAACTATTGTATAAAAGATTCATGTTCTGAATCAGGATTAATGCCTTGGATTCATAAAGAATTCCTACGAATCAATAAGAAAAAAGATAATGTAACTAAAACAACAAATGGGCAAAAAACCTGAGCAGGAATTCAAAGAAAGAAAGACCTGAATGGCTAATTAACGTGACTATGCACTCCACCTTACTAGAAATAAGGGAAATGCAAATGAAAACAGTGAAATCCCATTTCATAGTCACCCAACTGGTAAAAATTAAAAAGTCTGACAAAGCCCAGTGTTGATGAGATGTGGGACATCAGGAGCTCATCCCCACTGAGGGTGTTTAAATAGGGATAACCACTTCGGAGGACAATTGGAAGATGTCTGAGTAGAAGATGCTCATAATGCAAGACCCAGTGACGCTACTTCTCTTACATCCTCTAGAGAAATTCTCGCACCAGTGCTCAGGAGGTGTTACAAGAATGCTTATTCAGCTGCTATTTGTTAAAGAGGAACATTGGAAGCAATATAAGTGTCCATTTACAGGAGAATGATAAAAAACACTGACATTTGTGTGTGGAATAGTGTACAGCAGTGAAATGGGTACACTAGAGCTATATGAATAACTCAGTTATAATTGGAGAAAAAAAAGCAAGCTGTACTGTAGCATTATAGAATAATGTACTACAGTATGAAACCTTTTATTAAAAGTTGAAATATACAAGAAGTAATATGTCATTTATGTGGTATTCATACAGGCATAGCACAGCAGCTTCAGGGTAGTTTTAACTTCAGTGGAGAGGGAGGGAGGGAGGGAGGAAGGGACAGAGGGACGGACTGGCTTTAAGAACTTCTGTAGTTTCATTTCTTTTAAAAAGACACGTGATCTGAGACAAATATGGTAGATTTTTTAACCTCTCTTTAATATCTAGGTAATGGCTATACGTGCGTTACAATGTCTGGTTTTTTTCTGTATGTTTGCAGTATCATAATAAATATTTTAAAAAGACAACACAGCTGTACTTTTTAATTTTAGAAGTTACATGATACTGAAAGCATGTAGATTCGAACCTTCCCTGTGCTAAACCCTCCATGCTGAGCACGTTGGAAGGCTGCACTCCCAGTATTGCAGTCTTGGTATATGAGACTGGATTACTTACATTTAGAAAACATTCCTCTAAGAGTTATTTATGTAAATACGTTTGGTAAATAAACATTTATAAACCTTTGACCTATAGGTAGGCTGTAATTTTAGCTTTTGATGATAAAACTTCCCTTTATGATTTTTTTCAAAGGAAATATATGGTGGAAAGAGGGATGATTTGGAGCAAGGTATTTAATTTCCAAATCGTGCTCTGCCACAGAACTAGTTCTGAGGCCTTGGGCAAGCCATTTTGGGTGTCAGATTTTTTTATCTGCAAAGTTGGGTTAATAAGGTCCTCATTGCTCAGCTTTGTCAGGATTAAATAGGCTCATAAGCTTATGAGAAATACAGAGCCTGGCACTTCCTGGGTGCTCAGTAAACTACGGTACTGTACTGTAACAGTTGTTACGGCAGGTACCTTTGACCTAGTGAACCCTGGGTTTCCGGTCTCTCCTTGCTGACAAAGCTGTATTATTCATTTCGGAAGTGCTCTGGCAAATGAGGCTTGGTCGTCCTGCTTACTTAGTTAGTGAGTAGCATAGGGCGTCCCCAGAGCCTGGTCTCTAGAACAGAATCCTGGGCACCCTTGCCTGCTGGGCCTCCTGACGTGTGGTGCATGTTTCAGGCTTTCTCCACAGTAGGTACTCCTGACTACATTGCTCCCGAGGTGTTCATGCAGACCGGGTACAACAAGCTCTGTGATTGGTGGTCGCTTGGAGTGATCATGTATGAGATGCTCATCGGTAAGTTGTGTGCCTTAAGATGGCTTTTTCTGTGTAGCCAGGAAAGAGTCCTACACTGATAATAAACTCTGTTTCAATTTGGGGTGATCTAAGCACTTTCCCCCCCTTGTCTTTCAAAGTAACGTTTCCCTGGTAGAAAACTCTTGGCCATAAAATGTATCCCACTGTATTCTCTGACATCCTGGCATCCTGTGGTTGCTTTGCTGATCATGTATCATGCTTTGCTTCTGTTTTTTCATCCTCTTCAGCTAGCAGCTCTTTCAGTCACTGGGATTTTTAAAACACCCATTGTATGCATTGGGCATTGCCTGACTCACTCGTTACTTCCTGTTTGCTGTCCCCTCCCCTCAAGGCCTTCAAAGCATGGAACCCTCTGACCTCTCCCCCTCTTATTCAGATGGTATGTCTGTGCATTTAGGGTTTACAGCCATGGGGGTGGCCATGTGCCTGAGAGCACTAGGAGAGTAAGCGTATCTGTGGGTACCGAATGAGTGTGCGGGTGACTGGTGTGGCATCTGCTGCTGTGCTGTCTTTGGGAACACAGGGTGGGTGCCCGTGGAGGAGGATGTAATCTGTGTGGGGGGCAGGTGGAGCCACCTGCTTTGTGAGTATTTATCCTCTTGCTGTAGTTCTCAAACGAGGGAAGACGGTCACTTTTCAAACCTATGCTTTTTTCGTATTTGGCTTGTTTGGCACCTTACCCATCTAAGGCTGTTCTTAGAATGGAGTAATTTTTTCATGATGTTTCATCCTTTCACTTCTTCTTTGGTCACAGTGGCTCCCACGGCTGCATCTCTGCTTGTGTCCTCCTTTCTTTCCCCAGCTCCAGCTCTTAGCAGACACCTTAGTGGTACCAGAAGCACAACTTCACTTTGGGTTTAGGAGTTTGGGGGGAAACAGAATATTGGTTTAGATGTTTTCTGGGAAGAGTGGAAATCCTGCCCATGTTATGAAGGGAAGGACACACAGGGTCACTAAAGATATATAGAATCATATTAAGGAGAATAACCTCAGTCAGATTCAAAGCTCTGGGATGTAAAAGCTCCAAGCTTCCTTTTTTATTACAGGCTACCCACCTTTCTGTTCTGAGACCCCTCAAGAGACATATAAGAAGGTGATGAACTGGAAAGAAACGTTGACTTTCCCCCCAGAAGTTCCTATCTCTGAGAAAGCCAAGGAGCTCATTTTGAGGTATCGGTCAGAGAACATCTCCTCTGCCCCCACCCAGGCTTTTTGACATGAGTGAATCCATGTTTTTTTTAAGCTTTCATTATTTGCTAAGCCTGCTCCCCGCTTCTTCCCATTCCTCTTATTTAAAAAGGGGGAGGTGATTCCTTTTCTTTTCCTGAAGAAACTACTTAGGTATGCTGAAAGGCTCCTGTCTTTTCCAGATTCTGCTGTGAATGGGAACATAGGATTGGAGCTCCTGGAGTTGAGGAAATCAAAAGTAATTCTTTTTTTGAAGGCGTTGACTGGGAACATATCAGGTATATCCATATAAAAGCTTTCAGGATTATTTCAGAAAGTCTGTAGTTTGCTTAATACTAATTGGGAAGCGCCATTATTGGCAAACCACGTAAGAGAAGAGAGCTTCTTAGAAACTTGGGGTCTTTTCCTGATTTTAATTCACGGTGAGGATTGGTAGGTGAGGCTTCCTGTCGGCCGTGTGCTGTGAGATAGGCGAAGGCTGCTGTTATTTCCAGGGTGACGTGAACTTCGGGTTCCATGGGGAAGGGAACATCTGAGAAGCGTGTTGCCCTTGCTTTGACCTAGAACCAGCCTCTCTAGTGTTGCGGGCCACCAGCAGGCCTGTCCCTGCCCAGAGGGTAGGAACTATTGCTGCAGAAAGAAAGAAAGGAGTGGGAGGAGGATTGGGGTGGGAAGTGGTGAAGAGGGGGAGTGGAGGGAAAGTGAAGATTGGTGGTGGGGTCTGTAGTGCTGCCAGCGGCGGCAAGAGCCTGCACAGCCTGCTGGAGGCCCCACATCTTACGCGCGGTTGTTGGTTGCTAAACAGAAGATGAGGAAGTTGTCATCTATTTCATAATTTGTTCTGATTTGCTTCCTTGTGATTTTTACCTTTGCCTCTTTTGTGCCGCATTTTTAGCCACCCTTTTCTTTGGCACCTCTGATAGAAGGGTAGAGCCAAGAGGACTCTACGAGGTCCGATCCCCTTTTTAGCAGACAGGGCAGGCCGTCGGGGGAGCACATTAACTTTGGACTGTAATTTCTCCTTATTCTTGTCTTTCTTCCTGACTATGAATAATTGTTACTTATATTTTTTCATTGTAATTTATTTTGTTTGGATGAAGTCAGTTGGCGTGGTTGGTCAGTGGTTGCAAGCTTTTCACAGAAAATAAATGCTGCTTGCCAGTGACTAGTGTTTCCTTGTCATACCAGGGGTCCCTTGGTGGAGAAAGACTTGATTAGGAATGATGCATATGATTACTCACCATAGTAATTTTTGGCATGTCTGTTCTTGGCAGAGAGAGACCCGCTGCAATATCTATTGAAATCAAAAGCATTGATGATACCTCAAACTTCGATGAGTTTCCAGAATCAGATATTCTTAAGCCAACAGGTAAAACCACCAACACTACCTCTTGCTGCCTTATAAACACATTATTTCCCCCCAATTTGGGGATGATGTTTACAAATCAGAGTAGAGAACGTGGAGAGGCACTTCGGACTTTCGTAAGTCTTTTCCAGTGCTGCTGCTGGGTAGCAGTGAGAGCCTGTCAGATGGAAGATGGTTACAAACTCCCCTGCTTATGCAGCTCACCGGGGTGGGTAAATCACGAAGACATGCTCTTTTGTTATTTATTAAATTAAAGGTGAGGTAACCTGAAATGACAAAAGTGGGAAAATAAAACTTAACATATTTGTCCAAAACATGAGGTTCAAAGTACAGGCAACAAATGTAGGAAATTCATACAGAGTGAAAAATAACTCCCCACATAGAAACCGTGCTGTGTTCCTCAGAATGCCATGTCTCCTGTACCCAGTGGTCCGTCGGGTCAGGCACTGAGTCAACTCACATCTGTTTCTTCCCCAGTGGCAGCAAGTAATCACCCTGAAACTGACTACAAGAACAAAGACTGGGTCTTCGTCAATTACACGTACAAGCGCTTTGAGGGCCTGACTGCGCGGGGGGCTATACCTTCCTACATGAAAGCAGCCAAATAGTGTCCTGGATGTGGAGTCTTAATGGAGCAGAGTGCTTTGTACACCATCACGGTTTCCCTCTCACACACTCTTGAAAGAGCTTCCAGGAAGGTTATGGAACCCACCAGTATGGCATGGTAAACTCACCTGAAATGTGATAGTAGTGGATTCTCTTCCATCACGCATCTGAAAAGCTGTAGAACAGCCATTTCTACTACATCGGCCATAGCAGCTGTCCTGCTTCTTTAGAAGCATCATGAGCCAATTTGATAGACGTTTAAAAAAAAACTTGAATTTTCCTGAGTTCATCAGAATGAAGGGGAAAAAACAGCCATCATCCAGCATTACTGATATTGTAACATACACTTACGGAGTATCGGCCAATCCTGTGATTTTGTGACATGCTTTCTGCCAAGCCCACCAAGTATTTCCTAGAAGTTCCATAGTACTAAGGAAATAAAGCAATAACGAAGCCTCAGCAGCCAGCATTCTGGCTGAAGGAAATGACCCACCGTCTTCTGAGGGGTGGCGATGGTAGTTGCTCCCCATACCTCGGCCCCAGGCGCGTGGCTTTCTAGAGCCTCCATTCATGGTGCACTTTATGTATGGTACTAGGATAAAGACCCTCAATCCATCGATTTACATCCACCCTTCTGAAATACTCATGCTGCTTTTCTGAGTGTTGATGGGGGAATACCAGTGTGATCTGGTGTTGCTCAGAAGGTCCCCAAAGCCACGGGGCATTGCCAAGGGGTCCCGGATCGCGTGGAAAACCCTCACTTTCTCTTCACGGCTGTATCAGAACATCTAAGACAGACGTGGCCATGGCCCAGTGATACCCGCAAGTGCTGCCAACAGGGAGTCGGGTTGGCCCTGGGAACACCGCAGGGCGAGTCCAGGCTGAGGCGGCAGGAGGCCCGGAACCCTCCTGGCTAAGGTGCTGCTCCTTCTTGCTCGGTCCCCGGAGCCCCTTGGAAGTAGTACAGGGATCCGCCCGATGGAAGCGCAGAGCCAGCCTGCAGAGCTCTGTCAGGTTCACTCCTGGACCCTCAGTGCAGTTGTGTCTCTTCTCTTTCAGTGTTTCTTCTCTCCCAACTTTAAATACCATTTTGCCTTGGATTCATTACAGATCTTCCCTTTGCGATGCCTTCCTTGGGGGTGTTTCTCTCCACCCCAAAGGGTCACCTGAGCTTGGGCTGACCCCGCCTCTGCTGTGGCGTTCTCTCACGAGATACCCTCCGAATTTTCGCACAAAGTGCCTTCTCTCTCAGTTGCCACCACCTTTAGAGGAATTTTGCTGCATCAGAAAAATTTGGAGGTCCCATATTAATGCATTATTACTTTTAAAAGTTTTGATAACTCTTAAAGCATCATTTGCACCTGTGTGGTAACTTTGCCTGTTGCAGAGCGTCCCAGCCAAACGACAACTGGGAGACTGCTTTCTGCGTCTCGAGGTTAAGATCAGCTTTGAAAGGAAAGTATGTCCTAGCTTAGCCATTCAGAAAAGAAAAACGGAATATCAGAGTTACAGCAAGTAAAACTGGTTTGGATTTTAATGTCTTAGAGGAAGGTAAAAGAATATGAGGGAAGTATTAACTCTGGATGAAGGTAATGTGTCTGCCCCTTAATCTTTCATTCATGGTCTGTTAGTGAAAAGGAAGTAAATGAGATTCTTTTACGTAACTTTGTAGTTTCTGTGTATTACCACATAGCTGGGGTGTTGAACCCCAGGTGTTTTGCAAGAGTGTGTGGTAAGCATGGGTAAAGAGATGTGACAGGAGTGATTGTCTGCGTGGCGGGGAGTGGCAGGGGATAATTTGTTTTAGGAGGAAATGTCCACATTTTAACTTTTACACTTGTGAATAAACTGTGTGAAAACAGCAGTGTAATCTGTGATGTGTTCTAAAGCAAATGTGGCTTGTACTTCAGAGAGGCAGAGTGCTGGTGGCTTCTTTAACGCCTTTGTCTACAAACCATTGGGACAGTGTATCCCTAGCTTCAGGCAAAGTGCTTTCCTGTCCGGAGAAGCAGGGACCTGCCCTTCCCGCCCCCCGCCCCAGAAGGAGTCTTCTGAATTGGTGTCAGTGCGCAGGCTGTCTTCTATTGGCCCCACACATACTCTGTCCACCTGGCTCTGTTCCATGATTGTGGGCCTGCCTCTTGCAGTAAGGCCAAGGGGACACCTGCTGACAAAAGTGCTGCCAACTGCTGGACCTTTTGTGCCCATTTACGGCCCAGCCCCATTTTTATCCCCGCCTGGGATTGGCCAGGAATCTCAAGCTTCTAGGATGAGACTTTTCAGCCCCCATGTCCCCCTGAGCAGGGTTGTCTCTGAAGGTTGTATACTTGAGTCCTATGGGGTCCGATTTCTTAGCCCCTTCTCTAGGTCAGGGGAAGAAGCCTCAAAGAGGCAAGAAGGAAGGGCAGAGACCAGGGCAGGAACTGCAGGCAGGGGAGCTCAGTGCAGTCAGAACGTGGACTGTCTTTCCAGGCTCATAGGTTTCAGGAAACATGCTGGGACTGGCTCAGCGTAAGAGAGTATTTCTACTCTCTTAGGGGGTGTCAGAAAATAACAGAACTTTAACTGTACCACATCCTAAGATGAAGCTGGATACTGACGTCATTCCATCTCTCTCAATTCAGAGTGCATCAGAATTTCCTTCAGTGCCTGTTCCTTTTTGAATGACTTTCAAAAGACAGGTAGTTCCATCGGGATTAATATTCAGGGTCTGAATAGCAGATTGCCAATTTCAAAACTCATCTATATGGCATAATAGGAATCCTGTGCTATGACACTTTTCCTCTGAATCGTTTCCTGGATCACCTCCTGTTTTTCTCCTGGGCCCGTGTGTGACCAAAATGGGGTTTTTAGAACTCAGAAGGATTCACTGAATGGTTATTTCCCTTTCCTAGGTACACACACTTCTCTGGAATGATCTATCAAAGCCAACACTGACTTAAAAAAAAACAGCCTCCATGTGCTTCTTGCAGGCATATCTTCAGAGAAAAACATCTTGCTGAAATAACATTTAAGCACACATAATAGAGTTCAATACCAGGTACTGGGGGGCACAGGGGATCCACTGGGGTTCTGAGCTGCACGTCAGTTAGAACTCCACCCAGTAAGTGGCTTAAGGGACTGCAGCTCAGTCATAAGGTCGGTACTTCAGTGTTGATGTCCCAGTACCGTTAAGCCAGCCCAGAGCTTCCGGGAGATGTTTTTAAATAGCGATTTGGCAAAGGGACGAGTGGCTGCCTCAGGTTTTGGGGGCTGGTAGGTGTGGGTTCGTGCTGAGGTAGAGGCACGGAGCTGTATTACTCTAGGAAGAACACTCCGCAATCACTTGTTACTTAATTTCCCTCTCCCGGTTCCTCTCCAGTTTGGTTTCTGTTCCTTGTGTGGAACACGATAGTATGAATCATCCCATAAAACATGCTGGCATTTTTATTATTTTTTTTAAGATTTATTTTTTTTAATTGGGGAATTGGGGGAAGGGGAACAGACAAGTTGCTGTCGTTTTGTTCTTCAGTCTAGTTGTGGAGGACGTTGCTTCACTGGCACAAGTTGGCACCTTCATTGCGCTCTTCCTGGGCGAGGCAGATCAGTCGCCGGCTTCTGGATGGCCGCTCACTGCGGCTGCTG